AGGGAAGAAAATCCAAGTGTAATAAAGCAGATGAATAGAGAAAGTTTCATCTATTTGCGTCTGTATTGCAACGCGATATTGATATTTGGTAAAAGAAAAGAAAGGTAATAATATATCGTTCACTGAAAATAGTTTAGTTCGTTAAGCTCCCTTAGCATTTAAGGATCTGGTTGTAATCCAACCATCGTGATCTAGTCGTTTGTTGGGATGATGATACGTACGGATGTGAATGAGAGACGAGATACGAAATGCGAGGATGATTCAGTAGCCTACGAAATCGAGGAAATATATATAATGATCGTAATTGTAAAATTGCGTACAATTATATTAGACGATAAGATGCGAAACGTGATATTGGAGCGCTAAACCTCTTTTTAGTTCTACACTTCAGTAAAGTTCTGTTTAATTCCACATTTCATGTATTTATTGCGCAAATTGATTTGTCTTTTAAGAAATGATTAAAAAGAGCGCACATCTAATTACGCTTTGTGCGCTGAAACGATTATGCGAAATCTGAATCAATAGATTCTTTTCGGTTCAATTTTAATTAAATTGTTTGTTCTCTTTTCTGGAATATTCGAACTGAGAATCAAAAAAAAGATTAATTTTAGTCCAATTTTACTTTAACTTTTATGCACAAGCGCTCCGTACACATTTATCCAAATAACTCGCCCTTAAAGATATGACCAAGCACGACGCGAGTCGAATGTTCCAAAGCGAAGTGCGTCAATTTTACAGCTCAGAGTTTGCGCGCGATGTAGATGAAAGAAAAAAAAAAAAAAGATACCGCCGTGTAACAATAATCTCGCGGTTCGACCAACGGAAAATCACAATCGCAATGTGTGACGCCTTGTTAATGATTTAATTATAGCCGACAATAACTTCGTAGAGAAGCTATCGCGAGAGAGAGAGAGAGAGAGAGAAAAAAATTGCGAACGACGGAGCGGAAGGGGCGGAGGGGCGGAAGAACCAAGTTCCTTAGGATTTTGTCTACGACGACGAATTCGGTTAATCAATTTTCAAAGAACGGTACATATCAGCGAAGCGTTGCCTTGCGATAAGACAGAGAACTGAGAAATAGTCGTGGAGGCGCACGATGTATAGACGATTAAAACGATTTAAAACGATTAGTTACCTTGCCAGCGATCGAGAATGGAGAGGGAATGGTGAAGGGGAGGGTTTGATAGAAGTGTAGTACCTGTTGCATCACAAAAATGTGTACGCATTTTATCGAGACATTGGATAGCAATAGCTAATACGATGACTTGCAATAAATATCACGGCGCTGATTAATCAAACGGTAGCGTAATCAAAATGATTAATTGATCAGTCAGTCGTTCGCATTCGAGTCGTCGAAACGCGACTCATTCCCCTTGTGATCGGCGGTATGAAGCCGGCGGATAAATCGGGGAATTTTTAACGAAAGAAAAAAAAAAATACGTCTGTTGACACACTTTCGCTCCACTTCGATTTATTTTATCAGTCTTTCCAGACATCAGGAAAGTTCGAGTAATGTGATCTTTCTATTAGTTGCGAGTTCTTCAGTTTTTTTTTTTATTTTTTTTTTACTTGAACTACCAGTTGTATTCGCATCTTTACTACATATCATATTTATTTATAAATTTTCCAAAGATTAGCCTTTCACGATTAGATAACATTACATTTGTGCGCGTGCAAATCGAAGAGATTGCAAAGAGAATTGTTTATTGTACGTCGTCGTATCTCTATTGTTAACGTGCGCGCGCGAAGGGTCGCTTGCCCTTTCGGGATGTCTGCTTGCGCCTCTTAGAGATATATCTTCTTGCGAACCAATCGACATCTCTTTCTCTTTAAACACGACACAAAGTACTTCGACAAAGTTTTATACAACATTTTGGAAGGTTACACACATCGTAAAACTATGGATCAAACTTTTCCGGGGCCTTTTTAGCGGAGTAAATTAATGAGACAAATCCCGGGAAAGATCAAAGTGTACATTTCGAAGGAATAAGGGCAAACATATGAGAGAAAACCGAGACGGATTTGGTGGGGAGAGAGAGAGAGAGAGAGAAGGAGAGACCCTAAATGTATGATCGGATCCCAACGATTTGTAATATACAGCTACGTAGTGATTAGGAAAATATTAGCGTAAAGATGTAACTATATTGCGTATGTGCGTGCAAGTATTGTATTATATTGAAAATTTATTTAGTTATTTTATGAATAAAAATGCAAAACTTTGCTGGTTCACGTGGGGAAACTACTTCAATGCTTCACTTCACAATATTCTGTTTATCGTCTACTTCACCTCGCTTCGAATTATGCGGTTTAAGCCTCATTTTTATGCCAGATTATCTTTACGACGCAAGAAAGGAATAAGAAGTACGATGAGTCACTGAATAGCTGGCGATTTTTTTTTTTTTTTTCCTTTAGTCTTTCTTCAAACAATATTACACATTCTCGTTACATCGCTCCGCATACTACATTTCACCGCGAAGGTTTTCTTAATTAAACGCATTAATTGCTACATAATCATTTTGCGTCTATATATACATAGAATTTGATACAGCCCGCATATAGTGATAGTAGAAATAATAATAATACAATAATATGAATAATTGTAATAAAATAATAATTTATAATCATACATCCATGTGTTGCGCAAGTGTAAAAAAAACTTAGAAATATCCGTTTCTTACATTATTACGATAGAAAATGGATCGCTTATGTCGTAATCGGCACTTCTTTCGCATGATTTCAGTATTTTTATTGCGTCACCGTTTTATCTCTCGCTTTTCTCTCATCGAGAACATATTGAAAGAAAAAAAAATGGCAACTAATCAGCTGAAGAGATAGCAAATATATCGATAACAACGTGCAAGTTTCTATGTCTGTGCAGGTGATAATCGATCTATCTTTAACAATATTTTTACGAGGGAGAATTATATTGCTTTTTAAAAAACGTGGCTCGCGGTGCAGTTTGCGTTTATGCTTTTTGCAGCCCAGCATGTGATTAGAGAAAGTTATCTGTTTATTCGTAATGACTCAGTCTGCGATATGCACTAAAGTTAAGTTTACTCTACTTAGGTGGATTGATTAATTCCTTCCTTATTGCCTAGGATGATTCACAAATCATGCATATTCGGAGGGAGATAGAAAATCAATTACTACGAAATGCAATGTGCAAATATCTTTTTTTAGTTTATTAAACTAAATATCTAAACTCTTATCGCTATCAACTTAAATTTCTTCAAACTTTCACGCAAATTACAAGCTAGCTCGCTTACACATTCTATTAAGTTTTCAGCCTTTTAAATTTCATTAAGGAAAAAAATATAAAATTAAAGGATCAATGCGACGCGTGACTTTCAGTTTATCCTACCGTGGTTCTTGATACAACGAAAACGGAAAAAAAGCAATACAAAACTAAACGTTTTTGTACCACTTTTCAGCTTTTACAAGCGGGTTCTGCCGGGAGAAAACTGAGAATCAAAATCAAATCGCGCGGATTTATGCTCGAGAAACGAAAAGAATTAATTGCTGGCTAATGCCGCCATTGCGCGAATCAACGTGGCATTCTCTTCGCGAAGCCGTTCTCGTTCCATAGTCATCTCGTGCTGTTGCTTTAAAAGGCGAGCTTCCAGTGCCATTATTTTGTGGTCCCGATCTTCCAAAAGTGATAATAGTCTCCTGTTCTCTTCCTGCGCTCGTTCGATCAGCTGAAAATCGCTCGATTGTCATTCTCAAGTGTCTGACGACCAATTAGTACATAAAACTTCTCGGGATGTAATTATAGCGTAGATTCAATTAATTAATCATTAAATATTTTTGATAGCTTACTTCGTGCGGATTATCGCCCGTAGGTGTCGGTAATCTCGGCCTGCCGGTCGCGTTCACAGACGTTAACGTTGACGTTGGCGGTTCGTGATTGCCGTCCGACTGATTAATGCTATCGGATTGATTGAGAGAATCGAATTCCTCGTCGTCGGCTTCCAAATCCGAGTGACTAAAACGTCGACAATCGCATGTAAATTGTGCTTCAATTATTATATACATATACTGGTATATTCTTTTTTTTTTCATTAATATTTTACATTATGTTATCTAGAAGTTTTGCATTAGGCACGACCATGGATGCGGATACAAAGAATATCGCACACAATTATAAGATATTTTGGTTTCGGCGCAGACACATGTTTAATTGAAGAGCTTAAGGCACACAAACTACATGAAATAGATTTTACAAGAAAATATCTGAAGGAAAATACAACTCCTTTTTTCGATAATTCGATTCTAATAATAATCATAACTGGACAAATAAAATAAAAATCTCACGCAATTTTTGCTTCCACGCTTAAAATATTTATTTTGCCCCAAGCTCTTGAATTATTTTTTATAGTCGCGATTTTTAAAATTTTTATTTCCGATTATCAAAAAATACGTAACTATTTTTCAACGATCGCGATTAAACCATTGCACATTAGACACAATTACTCACGAGCTAATTAAATTCCCTTTTCAATCAAAATTATTTATATCTAATTAAAAAATATACTTGCATTCAGCTGATTCGCGTATTTATACTCTTTGTACCGCAGCAAGTCACGTTCGAATTTCTTCCATTTTTTTAATTTATCGTTTTATTGTTAATATTTGGAGTATTATGGGGATGAATTTTGGATAACGTAGTGGATAGTTTGTTAATTGATTAATTCTACCAGCTCTATCGTACTTCGTACAGGTCGTGCCTAATCATGGTTCTTCGGATATACGACGTAGCGCACTTACCAATTGTGCCTAACTATACATGACCTGTATGAAGTACGGTAGTGCCTAGAAAGCAGTCGTGATTCATTAAAATGACAGTCAAAGACAGCTACTGCACCATGAGAGAAACGCTTATTTCCCAATTGTCAGTAATTACGTGTGAACATGCGTGAGATACCTTTTGTTTCGTCTTTGCGTGTACATTCTGGCGGTCCGCTCCTGCAACATATGCCGTTTTAAGTAATCGTCTTAAAAAGATTGACTTAGAAGTTTTTTTTTAGAAATTTGGGCTTTGTTGGAAATTCCATTCTCTAATTTTGATTGCAATCAATGTTACTCAAAAACGATTGGAAACTTAATTAGTTTTTCCTGTGAAACTGACGATGTGCAATTAATCTCTATTCTCTAACAACTAACTGAATGGTGTGCATCACATATTTCAAAGTGTATGTAAAATATAAAAAAAATCTAAATTTCAGTAATGCCAAAGAAACGAAGCGTAGTATAAATTATGCAAATTAATTTTTACACATACATCTTCTCTACCATCGATAAATACTTGGCCTTCTGTATACATATAAAGTGAGAACTGGCACTGACTGCACTTACTTCTATCAATTCGTGATCAAGAAATTCATTGTGATGCGTGTTGTGCTTAGTTTCAAGACAAGTGCCGCTAAGTTCCTCCTCGTCTTCCCCCGTACTTCCGCCAGTGCTCTGAGGAATTGTACGTTTTACCAAATGTTGGGGATATTTATATTAAATTTTAGACATCATGAACTGTGAGATAAACGATCATGAACTGTGAGATAAACGATCATGAACTATGAGATAAACGATCATGAACTGTGAGATAAACGGTATGAAAAATAGCAGCATGTGTGTCGCTAGGCTCAGTATTATAATTCATCACAAGAAACTCTTTGATATATTAAAATAATTGTCTTAAAAAGTTCCGTCTTGAGAGAACTTTCGAAAAAATTCTATAACTTTAAAATTGCTTTCCAAAAATCCAGGAATAAGTAAGAGGAGATCTTAAAACTATAGAAATATAAGATGAAATCTTAAGATTTCAATAATCAAAAGCACAGCTTGCAGACTTGTTTCAATCCAGATGCAAAATTTCGACGCAGCTGAATGACTTTTAAAACTCCAGAGCCGAAGTCGCATTGATTAGTACGCCGCTAGAATCTAGTGGAGCGATTACTTAGGATGATTGACGGTAAGAATCGCGAACCTCTGTCGATGGTAAATGTACGACTCCTGTGCTACGCCGCTTTTCTCGTAGTTTCCGTCGATCGCGTTGCTGCTTCCCCTTGTTTATGTGCGTTGGCCTGTGCAAACAGGATACGACACTAAAGACACTAGAACCAGATCCAGAAAGTATAATTAGGCAATTACGTAAAGTTCCGTGTATCATGGATGTTGCTGGCTAATCAACACTCCAAGCGTGACAATAAATTTTTCTTTCATGATTTTCTTTATCGGTCTTGCAAGCGCATGCGATCGCGGTTTACGTACCGGCCGGTCACGCGTTTATCCTGCTTCCTTATTATGGGTTTGCTCTGCGGGTTGTCGTGCTCGGGCGGAAGCACGGGGTTGGAACCTGCGTCGTAAGCATTTTGCGATTCCTCCACATCAGGTGTATTCTCTGCGACAGAAAGAGTAAGATCTTTATTTTGTCAATATTATTAATGAACACAAAAATTATCTCAGAAGTCATTAATGTTAATTAGCTCTGTTTATTATTCTTCTACTCCAATACTTCACAAGCCGTCCATTAATTTTAGTATTGTTCCATCCATGATAAGTTGTTTTTTTGTGTCAAAAATCTATTGCAATAATCTTTTATGCAAAAAGTTTTTAACGTTTAAAACTGTCAGATATTTTTAACTTCGGACTTTAAAGATTTATTACTCATAGTTTCTTAATTGTCATAGACACTTTATGAATCATTGGTATTTTAACTTCTTATCTTTTATCTTTCACAAAATCAATAGCCAAATATTCCAAGTGCTCCAACAACCACAGATTTGTAAACATATCACGACAAGCTGTTGACATGTACTTTGAAAACTTATGGAGGATACATCTCCTGTCCTCGGAGGGCCCACTCTCGCCCTAGCAGTCCTGATTCTGGACCTCCTGGACGTCAACTCGAAGTCGTTGTCAAAGTCCTCCTGGCTGACGGAGCTGGACGCCATGCCGGTGATATCGCTGCAATGTAAGGATACATCATCGTGACAACGCGCTCGCGATAAGTACAGTGTTGAGAGTGTGCGTGTTGTGCAAAGAGAAAAAACTGGATCCTTACAAAAAATACCTGGACATCTGAACAAAGGGTAGGTCGTGACGTGCGATACCTATGGGGGGATGATCGTCCCGTGCGGGTGCCCGAGCTGGGAGCTTAGCGCTCGATTTTACTACTGTTTCAGGACTCGTCTGAGAAAAAGGGAGAGGAAGAGAAGTCGAGAAGAGAGTTTGAAAAAAGAAAAACGAGCTAGCAGGCGAAACGGAAAAAGAGATAAATAAATCAGTAAAAACAGAGAGAGACACACACACAACGTGCAACGCATGTAGCGAGAGCGAACGCGTCCGGACGCCGGACTGTGATCGAGGACTCACCTGAAGGAGGCTCTTAGCTGCCGATCCGGTGACTCACTGGTGACCCGAATGTGGAATTGACAGCTGTCAGTCGACGTAAACGACGATCGTAAACATCAGCCGAAACGGGCGCATAGCTGGAGCGTAGCCGCGAGCTAGGTCGGCGTATCGATCGTTCGCGGCCTGTGGAAGGCAGATGAGTCGAGAAAGGCGCTTCACCACGGAGTTAACTCTGCGGATTGCGACTCACGTTCACTGCCGAGTACAAAACTACTGCAAGACTCGCTAGTGACTTGCTGTCAGTGACTGCTAGTTCTCTTTGCTTGTGTTCATCACGCTAACCGTCCCCCCCTTTCGCGTAAACGCGATGCGTAATACATCAGGTGACGGATGAACTGTGACGCCAGATTTGAGACGCAAGGACTGGCAAGGACGCAAGCAGCGAGCAGCGTAGGGGAGGGAATACCGCACACATGCGCGAGCCACTGTACATGTGAGCTCCGCGCTTCGGACTCTAGAAGAGAGCAGACGTACTATTTCTGTCTCCTTTCTTAACGGCCAGAAGTGCTCCATTTTAGCCGGGATTTTAAATAATTGTTAACAAGAGCACATGATGATGCAGAAGCTCACTTACTAGTGCAGTCGGTACACTTACCATCATGTGCAGTCGTTATGTTGTTTTAGCTAACCAATAGATGGCACTGATTCGAGTGGAGCTCCTGATATCTCATGTGTTCCTGTTAACAATTTTTTAAAATCCCAGTTAAAATAAAGCGTTTCTGGCCGTTTCAGCGGTAATCTTAATTTTTTTGTATACTTATTTCCGTTTCTGAGCTACTTTTGTCAGTGCTAGGATGCTCGTAAAATACTAAAATAATTAAAACGTCTCTTTTAAAATTTTTGGAAAGTTTTTATTGCAAAATTTAAAATGCTAATTGTTAATAAAGAAATTAAAAAGCGACGTCTTTTTTTAGGACGTCTTAAAGATGTTTTTTTAAAGACATTTTTAGAAGGTCCTGAAGGTGTCTTCTTTTAGGATGTTTTTGAGACGTCTTTAGAGACGTCCTTATATTTATTATATATTATATTATATATATAATACGTGTTAATATTATGCTCTTCCGCAGGATGCAAATCTAGCCGAAACGCAGAGCTCACAATATACGTGGCTTGCACATATGTGCAGTATTTCCTCATGCTGCTTGCTGCTTATGTCTCAAATCTGGCGTCACTGCGAACAGACCGAAACTGGACTGCGTTCAGAGAACGCAACGGTTGTGTAATCGGTGAACATGCACCAGCAAGTGCAAGATCGGTAAAAAAGTGCATACGGAAAATTGCGTCTCGCTTCAATATGAATACAGCGAAGAAATTCGAGGAAGCCCAACAGTTTCTTTGAAAATTGAATACATTTTAATAATGCATGTTTAATGTATTGGTTTTAATTATTGTTAGTCTTTTTAATAAAATATTTAATTATATAAGAGAATAATTGCTTATAAATATATGCGACATTATGAACTATAAATAGAGAATCATATCTCATTGTCAGATGTCTTTATTTAATGTTACAATACACAAACGCCTTATCAGTTATTTTAACATTTACATAAAATAATGAAAAATTAATAATATATAACTTTTGTAGTATCTAAATAGTAATATAGATAGTTGCACAAAGTAATATTCTATTGAAAAAAATAACTATAATAATCTCTTGAACAGTAAAAATAAAATATATAATAAAATATAAATCTATTGATGAAAATCTCCATCAATATTAGCAATATTAAAAATAAATCAATACTTTCATGTTTCACAATTTCTGTGTACACTTCATTTTGTGGAATCTTTTCTATTCATAATAATTACATGCTAAATTAACAGTAATATAACTAAACTTCTATTAATCACATATTTGCTATTTGCAATTATTTAAAAAAAATGTAAATATATAGTTATGTCTAGTGTGAAACAGAGCAGTTTTGATTTCAAATCAGTAAAAATGTTTTTTTTTTTCTAATTATAACTTTTGCACTTATAACAGAAGATAATCAAACTTTTTCCTAAATTAATATTTTAAAATAATATAGTTTAAAAAACAAATATGTATGTAAGGAAGATATATCATTAAAATATTGTGTCTTTTTCTTCTTATTACAGCATACAAGACACAAGTAGTAATTTTAATTTTAATAACAAATTCTTCGATAAATTCGGAATCATTAGCTTCTGATAGTTACAAAAAGGCATTTTATAAGTTTAAAAAATTAAATAGGTAACGAAACCATACTTTTCAATTAGTTTCAAATAATTTTCATCTTGACGGAATTTTAAAATTTATTTATGAAGATATATAACAAAAATTGAAAAGTTGCATAATCATAACTTCTGTTCACATTTTTACTCAGAAAAAGTTGATTCCAGACAAATCATAGAATCTGTCATTAAGATTAAGTTATAGATGACTTGTGTAACATCACCTTTTAGAAACTTGAAAACAGCACCGATATTACATTATTCTTCTTCATCACTTACATTGCTCAAGCATTTTTCCTTGAAGTGATTAGGCTTATTACAACGAGTGCATATTTTACCCTGTGCTGGACACATGGATACAGCGTGATCAAAGCCACATCTAGGACAATCTCTAACAATAGGTACCCGACACAACCATGAGAAATGGTTCGATTTACCACAATTGGTGCACAATTCGCCGTAAGCGAGACAACGTGACTGAACGTGATTTGTTCCACACTTGGTGCAGTTGGATACATACTTTACTCGACAATTTTCTTTGAAGTGGTTGTATCCCTTACAGTTGTCACATTGTATTCCATGAGCTGGACAACGATTCCTGCTGTGGTGACCACCACAACGAACACATTCCATTTCAGCCGATCGCATACATCTGAGAAGAGGTGGAGAGATCTGATTTCGTGCATTTCCGCAATCTTCTTGTGACTTTTCTTCGCATTGTTTCCAAAATAACATTATTTTGTGGAGGTTCAATGATTGTAAATATGATACTAAGTTTGTTCCTTTGGACTGGACGAAGAGCATTGCTTTTTCCGTGAAATTACAATATTTGATATCTTGTATAATTTTTTCTTTCACAACGCTTACAGGATCACTGTGATTGCTTCCAATAGCAATAAGCTGCAAAAAAGAAATTTAATACATAATACAGATAATTATATAAATTTAACAAAATGAATGTTTAACGATAAAAAATGGTTGTCATTTTTTTAAATTGTGAATTCTTTCATCGAAATGTAATTAAAATTTTTATTATAAATTTTTCAAGATGTCAATGCTTTAGAAAACTTAAAAACTATGAAGTTTTAGCAAATAATGTTTAAGACAAAAACAAAATCTTTTATTTAAAAAAGAAATCTTATTTTTAAAACTAAACTGAGAAGAACACAAAGGAAGTGCTATCGTTTTCTTTCAAACTTTTACAGGTCTTGTCACATATCATGCCTTTATGACTTATCACATATATGCATTTTGTCTATCAGTGTTTATCAGCTGAGTCATATGACTTTGTTCGCGCAGTCATCCAATTCCAATGTACATTATAAAAAATTATTTAATTTTGCATAAGATTGACTTACAACAATAAAATATCAACTCACCATCAAGTTATCAATATATTTATCAATGTTTTCATCTCTCTTCTTTTTTCTAGTCCCAAAAATAAAATATACATCTAAATTACGTAACAATAACTCAAAATTTTCTGTTAAATTATCTTCCTTGGGAAGATACCGAAATACTTGTTCTCTGGAGGGATCAATCAACTTTAATAAGATAGTCGACCATTGTTTTTTATAATGCTCTGTGGGATCTTCTGTTTGGAGAAAATGTAAAAAATTTTGTTTCCACGCACACCAATTTCTGCCTATACCTCTTTCTGTGGTATTGAATGGTGGAAGCCTGTCCATTTTCTTAAACAAATTCGATGTAAAAAATTCTGCACTGTATTCTGTAAAAATAATAATGTGACATATATGAAGAGAAATTCTCAAATTAAGAAAAATTGCCCATTACTTACCCATATTTGTTTCACAAATGTTTTCTTATTTTTTATTGCTGTTGATATCTATCACTTACTCAATTTTATAAAATGTAAATATTAAAATAACAGCCTTGTCAGCCTTGTATATTTTTCTTATTAGTTTAATCGGCTTTTATTTGATTTGGTATTTTTATTATATAACCTAATAAGAAAAATAGAAAAGTTTTATTATTACTCTAAATGTATAAATAAAAAATTAATTTAATGTTTATATATTTTAGGTTAAATAAGATACGTAAGATTTTAACAAAAGATTGTCCACAAGCTGTGGTGAAACATGCAAATTAATAAATTTAAATAATTTAAAAATAACACATTTTTGCATCTGTAATAAAATTAAAAAGTATAATTATTACGGTGTATCATAATTTAATAAGACAGCTCACAATATTAAGAAAAAATATAGATCACTAATAACAATTACGCATCAAAAATGGATTAAGAATTAATAAACAAAAACTAAACGTATTAAAAACTATATTTATTGTTTCACTAAAAAACGTATAAAAACTTACTTGCGAAATCCAGATTAGGAAGTTTTACATTTTACTTCCGAAGATTCATTCGAACGTAAGCCCACTATAAATTATATCTTGCACTGAATCTTTATATTAATACTTATTGTATTTATATATTTCGTTATCGTTAATAAAACTACTCACACAGCATGCATACCCGGGGGGACGTTCGGGGGACATCCCGAAGATATCGTATCTCTCAAAGATATCTTTGGGATGTCTTCTGAACGTCTTTTGGATGTGTGCTATGTAGGTAAATGTATTAAAAACCATTTATGTTTCACCAAAAACGTATACAAAAAAA